CCGAAGACGAAAACACTTCCAAACACTTTGACGTTTTACTCCAAATGAAGTAATGCTTGTTTAAAAACTCCTTTGTCAAGACATTACAGAGCAATGCTACCAATTAAAAAAAAATACAACTCTGTATGTGAGATTTATGTCTGTATTCAAAAATACTGTATTTGGGGCTGCGTGATAAAGACAAAACAGGGAAGTCAGATAGAACCAGGAAACACTAAAACAAGAATGACCAAATCTGCATGTGTTCATTTTTTTTTCTTTCACTTTACAACTTGAGTCACTTGTGCTACCTCAGCCAAAAAAAAAAGATAATTCAAAGTTTTTCTGCTTACCCCTTCTTGCCTCCCTTCTTCCGGGACTCAGCGGGAGTGCTGGGTGGCGAGGGGGAGCGCCTCCTCTTCTTGCCGGCGGAGTTGGCCTTGCGCTCCTTTCGATCGGGTGTACGGGAAGACTGATCAGACAAACCCCGTGCAGCGCAGGGAGCGAGGGATGGAGGATGAGAGAAAGAGCCGCAGAATGAGAGGATGGAACGGTTGCACACACAAGGAGGGGAAGCGGAGGGAGAACGACGGCAGGGAGGGGAGGGGAGGATGCTGTGGTGGTGGAGGAGACGACCAGGGTTCCTGTGTACTGTCCTCTTTCGAAAGAGCTTCGCTTTCACACAAACCTTCACTTCTGGATCTGTGGTGAAATACTTCTCTGACATCATTTGTCTTCAGCAGACAAAGTTTCGTAATGTCTCGTGTATCAAGTTACGCTTGACGCTAACTTTTTATGGTCACCTCTACTCCAAATGTACCATCTTTTACAGATAAAGTAAAGGTCTATTTTCCATTATTGACACTACTGTGGCTCTGTGGGACACCCTGACTTTGCACTCTTCATCTTATTTGTGATGATTCAGAGAAACAAGGATTTGCACAAACTATAAATAGTAGTACAACTAGTGCACGCTTTCCTCAACAAAATGCATGATTTTTTTTACATGAACGTCTCTCACCCTGAATCTCTACTACTGTGGTGGAGAGTGACAAGTTAGCAGTACCCATAGAAAAACAACAGTCAGATTAATCAAAAATGCTCCATCGTCCTCTAAGTGGGAGCAGTGAACCGTCACCATCTATTATAATAAAAACCAAACATCTTCCCCCCTCGAGGCGTTTAATTGCAGTCGCCGAACAGCTGTTGGGTCTGCCGGTGAAGTCAGTAACGTGCGGTGAGTTAACCTATTGTGTTTTAGTTAAGCAGCTCGCCATCTGATTTTCTAACCAGGACAGAAACCCTGAAACTCACTACAAGGAGACAAAGTGTGAGGAAAGGTTTGAAAAGGATGGGCAACAGACGGAAGCCAGGTGTGGACGAAGGAGGGCGACGATGCACTTTGCACACAGCCATGCAAGAAAAACACAGACTACAGCCAAAACATGCGCTTATACACGAGCATTGACTACCATATACGGTTTCATACAGTACAGAATCCATGACCAGCTTTAGATTTACATCTTTGTTGGAACATTTGATGTTTTTCATCTGCTAATCATAACGATCATCTGTTGTTCAAATTCAACTATGGTTTTAAACTGTACTGATGAATCACAGACAGAAAACCTACTTTAACACCCGACGTCTTCTGAAACACTCACAGCACAAACACCTACCTCTTCCTCCTTGGGGAAGATCCTCTGGCGGAAGCTGACCGGCTTCTTGTTCTCGTCCACCTCATAGTCTTCCTCGTTCATCCACTCATTGAAAGCGTCGGTGTCTGAGACCCACTTGGCATGGACCTGATTAGGAGAAGGATGGAGACAAGAGTTGAAGTTGTTGTACTTTACTACAGATTAATCTAATCATCAGTTCACAACACATTGGTTCCTGGATTTTCCTTCTTTTCCCAGTCTTTTCTGCATGCTTAAATGTTTTTAAATGCATTAGTGCAGCACCATTAAATAGCATCACATAAATATATGCTAGGCACTTCTAGACACAATGCCTTCTTGATTTACAATAGTAAGAAATTATGTAGTTGTGGTGTACACTCGCTATTAACTGGAGGAAATACTAATTACAATAAATAGCAGTAATTAGTCACAAAGAACACAGAGTTCTAAATATTCCACAAAAAGAACAGAATATAATAAAAACAAAAAGGCAAATAACAGCAGCAGACTGACAACACAGAAGCACTACAGCCCCTCTGGACATCAGTGAGAGACTATTTCCCAACAGGTGGATAAAGAGATGCTCCTGTTAGATGAAATGCAGGTGAAACAACCTACATTACTTGAAGAGACCCACTCAGACACTGACACAGCTCTTGTGATCTATTTAGTATGTAGCCTAGCAACACTCAAATGTTCTGCGTTTGCTGCACAAAAACACATCAATGTTCTTTTTCTCTCAAGGCAAATGCTTTATAAACCATTTTTTTTACCGATTTAGGTAACCTCTGCAGCAGCAGCAGCCACAGACATCCTGCACGCATCTTTGGAGTTAGACTCCATCAAGAAAAATGAAGAAAAAGTGACGACCTGACTCGACACTTGCTGCTTGTATGTTTCCTTTTCAAAATGAAATACCAATCAAGCCGCTTGAGTTGTTTAACATTCTTTCTGTTTCTGCAGAGTAAAGCTCTGGTGTGTTTAGTCTCCTCATTGCTCACCTTCCAGGGTCTGTCAGTGCTCGGTGGGTCCTCCAGGTCACCGTCCACCTCACTGGCTGATACCCAGGTGTCATAGCTAACAGAATAAAAAAAAAAAAAACAGCACTGAGTCAGTGATCAGTCCAACACTGATGAAATGATAGACTGTCTTCAAATTGAAACCATGCCCCAGAGAGATTATTAGATATTTCATTTTTCTATGATGGATATATTGTTAAAATTGTAAACAATTATGATAAAAAAATGAAGAAATGCAAATAGTTGAATGCAATTTGGTTCCCTAGTGAGTGAATGAACAGAGGTCCAACCAGTGTGGGGGCAGCCATGTTTGAGAGCTGCGCTTCACATCTCTGTGCTCACCTGTCTGGGTAGAGACCCCAGTGCACGAGCACCTGTTTGTCTTTCCTCATGACAGGACGCAGCCACTCCTCTGCAAGAAATACAGAAAAAAAAAACAACTCGCACACGTTTCTAAATGATCAAGAAAACTGTTTGAAAATGCTTAGACACCATTTTATAAAAATTAAATTTAAAAAATGTGACCCAATAAAACTGAGAAAAGAAACAACCCCCATATATTATGTGATTCAAATATAGACAATAGACGATAGAAAAATGTCTGACTGACCTTCTTCTTGTTGGGATGGAGAGGGGTAAATGTGGTGGGTGGCCTTTGACTTATCCTCAGTGATGGAGCCCTGGAGAGCACAGAGGAAAAAAAATTATACACAACTGAACAGACAGATACAGCAGAGGATGCCTTTAGAAAGTCTCCGGCTGGGTTGATGTAGACTCACCTGGTGCCTTTTGATGATGTCTTTGAGCTTACTGGCCTGTTTCTGCTCGATGTCCGACGACAGGAAGACAGTGGGTCGAGTTAAGCAGTTATTCTACAAGCACAAAAGCTCCAAGTTAGAATCAGACACAGGGTTGCTGAGGTACATCACTGCTAATCAGTCTATTTAGTTTACACTCATAGTCGATGCGTTTATCCAAATAAATACATGAAGAACACTTATAGTCGTCAGCTTTGTGTGCGGAGCGTTGAAACATACCTGGACCAAGTTCTTTTCAACATTTAAGAACATCTCCACGTTTCTGTCCATCCGGGAGGGATTCTGCAGGTCAAATCTACGCCTGGAATGAAAACAGAGTAATACTATGAGAGGGTCATGGGTTCATGTATGGCTACAACACAGTAATTATGAAAGTCAAACTACTTTCCTGTATTTATCAAGTGATGTTATGTGTAAATTATATGACAAATACCAACCAACAACCGTACAACTGGGCATAAAAAAAGCATTCAAGTCACCAAGTTCAGTTTAGCCTTACTTCAGTAATCACTATGAATTTATGCAAAATGGAAATTAAGGGTACATATTTTTTTTATCTCCACCAACCATCAACAAAAATACAAACCCATTCCTACCATTTCTTAACCTTAAAATATGCTAAATTTAGGACTTCAAGGGAACCACATGTTTGCTATGCTTAACAAAGCCACCTGGTTGACGTGGCAAGACTTTAAGTTCGGTTCAACACCAGATTTATCTTTTGAACTTAACCAGAAGTCAACTCACCAGCCCTGCTCGCTCTTAAACTTGTACACAGACCCCAGGATGTGACAGAGAGCACCTCCTGCCTTGAAATCCAAGAAACACTTGGCCTACAGAAAAAGAATAGGAGGAGGAAAAGTGATGATAGGTCAGCATTTAGAGTTCAGCTACGATGGTGTTGCATGGTTTTATTAGAAGTAATGTGTGTGTCTGTGTGCTTACAGGCAGCTTGGTGAGAGCAGGATTGTTGACCCTGCGCCCAAACGCGTCCTCTTGGAACTGCAGCAGCTGGACCACCAGGCCTGCCAAGGATTTACTGGAGGGGGAGTCATTCTGGACATACTGGGACCAGGCACAGAAAAAAGCATCCATTAACACACAAACGTCTACACATGCACAATACTTCAAAAAACACACGGATTGACAATTTTACAGTCAACAAATATAGGAGTAAACTGTTTAAATTATCATGTAATCTGTTGTGGTTTTAATTGATTAAATCCTGGCCACATTAAAGACAAGCAGCAAAAGCTCAAAGTAATGCCATAAATGGAAAAAAATATGGAACTAACTCCTAAGACAAAACAATCCAAAAGTTCACGAACAATTTTTTGATTGAACAATAATATAACGATGCACTTAATTTAAAGCATCCACTGAAGTTGGTATTTCCACTCCCATCAACAGAGAGGTCACAAGGTCAAGGCCAATAACAACAAAGCATGCAGAGAGTAGGAGGGATTTCTGGCTGTTGCTCAGAAACACTACAGCACTGGTCCCTCTGTTCACCAGATCTTCACATATATATGACCATACTTCTGGGTTCGGATAAACTTTCGCACACAATGATAAATATTCTAGAGGAGCTAAAACAAGAGTGCATCTATTTGTAGTGAAAACAATGACATGGGGACCCGCCTACACCAAAGGGACTGCATATTGAAACCAAATTTTCGTGGAAGCACGTGTTTAAAATTGAAGCAAGAATACAAAACTGCACCCCAATACTGTAGTATTATCTTTATTTCTTCAATTTAAGGCAGCTAAGCGCGTCAGTGGGTTTGGATACGAGCAGGAAGAGACAAGAGGAGCACTCTTTGTTTGGCTAACTTAGTGGGCGAGTGGATCCCGCACAGTCTGGTATGCTGCTGTGTTGACAAAACTCAAGGCTGAATAACTCTTCAGCACCAAATACGACCGCGCTTGCAGAATGCACAAAGTGAGGCGATTACAAGTTTCTGACTGGAATATCATTTCAGCTGCAAATGAAGGGCAGGCTGTGTTGATTTTAACTCATGTTGTGAGTTGTATGACTGCCTGGTATCCCGTGACAAACATTAGGTTAGCTTGTGGGGCCTTTTGCAATGCCGATTAGAGTTGTGGTTAACTTGTGAGGTGGACAGAGTTGCACATGGGAGCGTAATATTTACACGCAACGTCCATCCGCCGCTCGTTTGTAAACATTTTTCTCCTGAGCGTGTGTTGAGTAGCTATGCTGAATGAGCGGTTAGCCTGCTAACTGCAAGCTAGCTAACGGATGAAGAGGTTCATTACAGTAAAATTCGGGCCCGGCTATTTACTTGCATGTTTTACTCGGATATATCCAAATTTCACATTTGTACAGAAGCTAAAACTTTCACATAAACAGGCAAAACCTTCCCTCTAGTTAGCTTTGTGTGGCTGCAGCTAGCTAACATATCAGCGCCCCATTGTGCCAGCGGGACGCGGGCCTTCATAGAAATCAATGGAGCTAGCTCACCTTCTTGTAGTGCTTTCCGATCCACAGCCGCACCGCCTCCAGTTGGGATATCGTCTCTGAACTTTCCCAGAATTTCGTAGACGGACCGCCGTCTTTCTTTCGTCCCACTGCAGTCCCGCCGCCGACCGGGCCGGTGGCCGGTCCGCCTGAGCCCGTTCCGCCTGCCGTTGTCGCCGCCGTCGCCATTGTGTGTTTTGTTCGCTGCGTTGTCTTTCTCCTCCACGGCGTCGCTCACCGTGCAAGTTTTCGAATGATATTGCGCAGCCGCAAAAGCGTTATCGCGTTTCAAGTCTCGCGAGTCTCGATGTCGATGGGGCTCATGGGAAATGAAGGCATCTCAGGAGGTTTGTCCTGTTGCCATTTTTATTTTCCTTTGTTGGTGTTTAAAAGTTTCTCCTTAAAGATTAAGAAGACCTGAAAAGATTTACTGAACTATCGCACTCTGTCGATTATATTTAAATAATTTATTTAATATATTTTACAGGCTTCCATTTTATAAGATATTTAGTTAAGTTTTTTTTTTTATAAATAAATAAATTATTGTCATTTAGTATTTTATTTTATTTTTATATGCAGTATTTGACAACAAAACTGTACCTTTTATGTCATCCTTATGGTTTGTAAATTAATCTTTGGGGCCCTGGCACTCACTGCTGTATTAAGGTCTGTTGTTACTCATTCAGTCCCATTGTGTTTACACATGTATATAGAAGGAAGGCTGATCAAAAACATCTATATTTATATTCATGGATATATACATACACAACTATACAAAAGTGTATTGTAATTTCACGTACAGTATATGAAGTATTCACCAGCCTTATTCCTTCCCTCCCATTCCATTCATCAATTGCCAGTCAGTTTTCTTATATATCCCAAACTCCTGCCAGTTGTCATATATATACAGCAATCAAAATACTTTTCAACACTTGTCTCGCATTATTTGAATTTATTGTGGCCTAATTATCTCCCCTACTGTTTTCATGTGATTTCACACTTTATTTTCTTTTTACCTGTAGATATGAACCTCTGTTCGAGGGCTTAAATATCCAGGTACACATCTTTCTGCCCATAACATAAAAACCTAAGTACCCATATTATAGTTTCAAACCTTAAATATAATGCACGTGGCATTGTATTTGCAGTGTTACGACTGTCTTTGGTATTTTTGTATTTCTTTTGAAATCTGACCAGGAGGAACAAACACATTTATTTGAGAGCTGACTGTAAATTACATATAAGATACATGGAGAGCTTTTTAAAACAACAGTTAACCTGTACAAGGAAAACACATAATATATTTACACATTATACTGTGACATTTACCGAATGTTATCAAACCTGAAAGATAGTGGTGTCCTCAAACCTGCAGAGCATTTATGAAAGCGTGTGTCCATGTCTGAGAGTCAAGATGGTGCCATCCTGTGGTGACACTGTGCTGCTCCGGCTGCTGTCTGCTTTTGTTTTCAAAGCTTCATGCTCACTCAGCTATGACTAGAATGAACTTTTACACATACATTGACAGCTTGTCAGCTGATGCTGGCGTATTTTCAGCTCTATTTGTACCTGCAAAGCTAGGAGGTAAAAAAAAAACAAAAAAAAAAAACAGTCAAAAACATCCATCCATCCATCCATCCATCATCTATACACCGCTTAATCCTCACCAGGGTCATGGGGGGCTGGAGTCTAGCTCAGCTGACTCAGGGTGAAGGCAGGTTCACCTGGACAGGTAACCAGTCTATCACAGGGCTACACTTAGAGACAGACAACCAAGCACACTCACATTCACACCTACGGACAATTTACAATCACCAATTAACCTCAGCATGTTTCTGGACTGTGGGAGGAAGCCGGAGAACCCGGAGAGAACCCACGCTGCACGGGGAGAACATGGAGATTCCACACAGAAAGAACCCGGGTGTCCTCACCGGGACGCCAACTGGCGACCTTCTCACTGCGAGGCAACGGCGCTATGCGTCTCTCTCCAGCCGAATATTCTTAGCTTTTTCAGGTAACAAGAAGAGTGCCTTGTAACATTTGCTTAAAGCCTTGAAAGCATGTCTTTCAACCCCTTGTCTCTTTCCCTCAAAAGGCTTCGCCCTTTTGCCAGGCCACAGTTGAAAATAAGAACTGTGTTCTTAATCTGTTTTGCCTGGTTAAATAAAGGTAAATAATAAAATAAAATAAAAAACAAAACCATGAGCTTCTGTCAAATCTAACCAAGTAGTTTTGGTGTCTACAAAACAAGACTAAAGGAACAAAACAAAACCCATGAAAAAAATAATGTTCTGACCCAGGACAGCTACCTCTGTGTTCTGGATGGCCTTACACCACCACTGCTCCTCTAAACTTCATAAAAGGCAGTTTTATTCTCGAAAAAAATGTGACACAAGTGGCAACAATGCCAAAGGACATGTTTAGCATATGTCTTGGACCTCCACGGCTTTGACAAATCAGCAGTATTTGATTCCCTTTAATAAGAATGAGTTGACTCTTCATGTAAAAATATAGCTAAAGCCATAAAATACATGCAGTGAAGTAAAAAATAAATAAATTATATCAGACATGTGGTGAAGTATAATATATAAAACAGAAGTACACAAGGAAAGCATGAGCATACAAGTATGAAATCATACTTAATTACAGTACCTGTGTAAATGTATTTCATTACAGTTGCAGAAATTTCTGATGTAGAACAAATACTCGCAAACAGAAGACTGTCCTTTCTGTGTCTTATTGGAAGCACCTGTGCAAGAGGACAAGTTAGCCACCGAGAAGTGTCTGTGGCTAAAAGAGTACCTAGATAAATGATAAACTAAGCAGATTAAATGAGTAAATGATGAAACACAAAATTTCCCCCACACTTACATCCTTTTCTTTTCCTCATTTCGGAATCTGTTGTCATGCTGTAAATCTTCTAAGACTTGAGGCTGATAGTCAAATATGAGGCAAACGGAATAACTGGGCTGTTGTCATACACAACACACATGCACAGTATTAGTGATTGCACGATAATAAGGCACGATTTACTGTCACAGTATAGTGGATAGTTGTTGGCAAATGGTCAGAAGTAGACTGCAAAGGAAATGATTTGGCAAAAAATAATTTTAAAAAATAGTAGAGAAAGTCGCATACAATTAGGATAAACAATACAATAATATATAGAGAAAAAGACCGTTTTTAAAAATTGTTATCTGTTTCTCCTGAGAAAACCCCCGTCGGTCTGTGTACGATCTTGGAGTTTTGGCTGGTCTCACAACTGCTTCTGGTAATCCAGACCTTCTGTTCCGAAGTGAGTTCTGGGAAAGGTCTAGAGCGGTGTCTCTGATTGTAGTGTGTCGCCTGCCTCCTCTTTCCCTCCTGATCTTTCCTATGTAATGTGGGCTGCTTGTCATGTAGGCGAATTTGTTCTCCTTTGGGAACTGTCTGTTCTTAACAGTTCTTATCTGATACGACAAATTCTGTGGTCGCATGCCTTGCAAAGGCCACTTAAATAGCTCTAATAGTCACCTCAGCCGGAGTGCACCTGAGCTCTGCTCTCTCAATGTATCGCGAAAAGTAGTCCATGATCAATGAGTAAATTTGCTCTGACCACTCAAACGGATACCTGCCAACCTTTTGTAATGGATGGTCTGGAACTGGGCTGGGCAACAAGTGGCTCTTTGTGCTGTGTTCTTCTACATTTACTTTTGTTTTCTCCTTAGTCTCTGTCTTCTTTATTCACCATCTCTCTATTTGTCAAAGCTTTTGATTTCACAAAGTGAAGGTTTGTCAGCCATGCTTGTTGAAGCTCAGGGTTTTTAGTAGAGAACCAACAGAAAGCATATAGTCAAAATATATGTTTTTTAGGGCCTCTACAACTCAGGAACCCTTTAAAAGATGTTCCAACACTCACAACACACACACAAAAAAATGCTTACAGGTTCTTTACCCTCTTTAAGGATTCTGAGGTTAAGTCAACCCCGTTCTCAGGCTTTAGGCCCCACGTCTCACACCCATCTTTTGCAATGGAGGTTTGGTACTGTGCATAGTTTTTTTTCCTTCGGCTCTGAGTTCATTGCAGACTCACGATGAAAGTCTTTGCAGACATTGCCAAATTGTTATGGAAGTTTCTGTTGTGTATCAAATACTCACAAACAGACGAGTGTCCTTATTGGGTTTTGTTGGATGCACCTGCACAAGTGGATCCAGTCAGTCACAGAGGAGTGTCTGAATGAGTGCCTAAGCTCTCTCAGCGAACATCTTTATACATTTTGATGGAAACAATTACGCTACTAAACTAGATAATTGGCCACTCGCCTGTCCTTCTGAAAAAAGATTGATGTTATCGAATTCTAAGGGCATTCATTTGGGTCATACACTATTGTCTTGTGGCTCAAGGGTCAGTTTTATGATATTCGTTGCCCAAAAAAAAACTTCCTCTACTGACGATATGAGGTCTTGTGATAGTGTGATTGTTAATTAGCGTATGCACATATGATTCATGCCTTTGTGCAGTTTTCTTGTCTTTAGAGAGTCAAAACAGGTGAGTGTTTAATATGTATGTCAGTGCAACAAAGATATCACTTGTACACATGCATCATCGAGACACCTGCACACAAGCAGTTAGGAACAGCATTACATGAGCAGTTGATGTCCTACACAGATAATGATTTTTTAAAAACAGATTACTGAAGTAAATGATCACATAGGTAAATTATAAACTAAGTAAATGATGAAACACAAAATTATCCTCAGTTACATTCCACTAAAGTAATAATATGTGAGTGTCTATTGTCTGATCTTTGGCACATTTCTTGGCATAGATTTGCTTGACCTGTGAAATTAATTCATGAGAAGGGAAGTGAAAGACACGTACTTGGCATCAAACCTGTGATCTGTGATTGGACAGTGTTAAGGTTGACAGTTATCTGATTTCTGGTGACTGGTTGGATATGATTCAGCTGATACGGAGGTAGACACCGAGGTACGTATAAAAAGCAAAGACATTTTAGGTTTTAGGGGTTTGGAAGCTTTTCCTCTCCTTTGCTGAATCATCACACTCCTGAAAAAAAGCATCTGACTGTCCAGGTAACACATTTAATTTCTTTGTTTAAACAGTCTTTATCCTTACTGTGAAACTGAGCTACTACTGAATAGATTTGGAATCCCAAACTTTTCTTCTTCTGCTAATTTGTAGTAAAAATTTCCAGTATGCTTTAAGGGCTCCATATCTGAC